GCTGAGCACCAAGATGAGGAAGAATACCAGCATGGAGACTCAGGATCAACTAGAAACACAGAGCTTCAAGCAGAGAAAAGACATCATGAAAGTGAAATGAACAGTAACAGTCCACACACCTCTGCTGTGATAAACTTAAATACAGGTAAAAAGCCTTTAAAATGTGAAATATGTGGGAAAAAATTTAAGAAAAAGTCAAAATTGCAGAGACACCTGAACAGCCACACAGGTGAGAAGCAGTTTTCTTGCAAAACATGTGGGAAAAGAATCAGTGACACATCAGCATTGAGCGCTCATATAAGAACCCACACAGGTGAGAAGCCGTTCCTTTGCAAGACCTGCGGGAAAAGATTCAATGAGAAGTCAGTATTAAAAAGGCATTGTAGAATCCACACAGGTGAGAAGCCACATACTTGTAAAGTATGTGGGAGAGCTTTCGGACATAATGGTCATTTGTTAGTCCACATGAGGACTCACACAGGTGAGAAGCCGTATATTTGTAAAGTATGTGGCAGAGCTTTTGGACGTAATTGTCACTTGTTAGGCCACATGAGGACTCACACAGGTGAGAAGCCGTATATTTGTAAAGTATGTGGGAGAGCTTTCGGACGTAATGGTCACTTGTTAGTCCACATGAGGACTCACACAGGTGAGAAGCCGTATACTTGTAACGTATGTGGGAGAGCTTTCGGACGTAATGGTCACTTGTTAGGCCACATGAGGACTCACACAGGTGAGAAGCCGTATACTTGTAAAGTATGTGGGAGAGCTTTCGTACGTAATGGTGACTTATTAGTCCACATGAGGACTCATTCAGGTGAGAAGCCATATACTTGTAAAGTATGTGGGAGAGCTTACGTACGTAACTATGACTTGTTAGTCCACATGAGGACTCATTCAGGTGAGAAGCCGTATACTTGTAAAGTATGTGGGAGAGCTTTCGTACGTAATAGTGTCTTGTTAGTCCACATGAGGACTCACACAGGTGAGAAGCCGTATACTTGTAAAGTATGTGGGAGAGCTTTCGGACGTAATGGTCACTTGTTAGGCCACATGAGGACTCACACAGGTGAGAAGCCGTATACTTGTAAAGTATGTGGGAGAGCTTTCGTACGTAATGGTGACTTATTAGTCCACATGAGGACTCATTCAGGTGAGAAGCCATATACTTGTAAAGTATGTGGGAGAGCTTACGTACGTAACTATGACTTGTTAGTCCACATGAGGACTCATTCAGGTGAGAAGCCGTATACTTGTAAAGTATGTGGGAGAGCTTTCGTACGTAATAGTGTCTTGTTAGTCCACATGAGGACTCACACAGGTGAGAAGCCGTATACTTGTAAAGTATGTGGGAGAGCTTTCGGACGTAATGGTCACTTGTTAGGCCACATGAGGACTCACACAGGTGAGAAGCCGTATACTTGTAAAGTATGTGGGAGAGCTTTCGTACGTAATGGTGACTTATTAGTCCACATGAGGACTCATTCAGGTGAGAAGCCATATACTTGTAAAGTATGTGGGAGAGCTTACGTACGTAACTATGACTTGTTAGTCCACATGAGGACTCATTCAGGTGAGAAGCCGTATACTTGTAAAGTATGTGGGAGAGCTTTCGTACGTAATAGTGTCTTGTTAGTCCACATGAGGACTCACACAGGTGAGAAGCCGTATACTTGTAAAGTATGTGGGAGAGCTTTCGGACGTAATGGTCACTTGTTAGGCCACATGAGGACTCACACAGGTGAGAAGCCGTATACTTGTAAAGTATGTGGGAGAGCTTTCGTACGTAATGGTGACTTATTAGTCCACATGAGGACTCATTCAGGTGAGAAGCCATATACTTGTAAAGTATGTGGGAGAGCTTACGTACGTAACTATGACTTGTTAGTCCACATGAGGACTCATTCAGGTGAGAAGCCGTATACTTGTAAAGTATGTGGGAGAGCTTTCGTACGTAATAGTGTCTTGTTAGTCCACATGAGGACTCACACAGGTGAGAAGCCGTATACTTGTAAAGTATGTGGGAGAGCTTTCGGACGTAATGGTCACTTGTTAGGCCACATGAGGACTCACACAGGTGAGAAGCCGTATACTTGTAAAGTATGTGGGAGAGCTTTCGTACGTAATGGTGACTTATTAGTCCACATGAGGACTCATTCAGGTGAGAAGCCATATACTTGTAAAGTATGTGGGAGAGCTTACGTACGTAACTATGACTTGTTAGTCCACATGAGGACTCATTCAGGTGAGAAGCCGTATACTTGTAAAGTATGTGGGAGAGCTTTCGTACGTAATAGTGTCTTGTTAGTCCACATGAGGACTCACACAGGTGAGAAGCCGTATACTTGTAAAGTATGTGGGAGAGCTTTCGGACGTAATGGTCACTTGTTAGGCCACATGAGGACTCACACAGGTGAGAAGCCGTATACTTGTAAAGTATGTGGGAGAGCTTTCGTACGTAATGGTGACTTATTAGTCCACATGAGGACTCATTCAGGTGAGAAGCCATATACTTGTAAAGTATGTGGGAGAGCTTACGTACGTAACTATGACTTGTTAGTCCACATGAGGACTCATTCAGGTGAGAAGCCGTATACTTGTAAAGTATGTGGGAGAGCTTTCGTACGTAATAGTGTCTTGTTAGTCCACATGAGGACTCACACAGGTGAGAAGCCGTATACTTGTAAAGTATGTGGGAGAGCTTTCGGACGTAATGGTCACTTGTTAGGCCACATGAGGACTCACACAGGTGAGAAGCCGTATACTTGTAAAGTATGTGGGAGAGCTTTCGTACGTAATGGTGACTTATTAGTCCACATGAGGACTCATTCAGGTGAGAAGCCATATACTTGTAAAGTATGTGGGAGAGCTTACGTACGTAACTATGACTTGTTAGTCCACATGAGGACTCATTCAGGTGAGAAGCCGTATACTTGTAAAGTATGTGGGAGAGCTTTCGTACGTAATAGTGTCTTGTTAGTCCACATGAGGACTCACACAGGTGAGAAGCCGTATACTTGTAAAGTATGTGGGAGAGCTTTCGGACGTAATGGTCACTTGTTAGGCCACATGAGGACTCACACAGGTGAGAAGCCGTATACTTGTAAAGTATGTGGGAGAGCTTTCGTACGTAATGGTGACTTATTAGTCCACATGAGGACTCATTCAGGTGAGAAGCCATATACTTGTAAAGTATGTGGGAGAGCTTACGTACGTAACTATGACTTGTTAGTCCACATGAGGACTCATTCAGGTGAGAAGCCGTATACTTGTAAAGTATGTGGGAGAGCTTTCGTACGTAATAGTGTCTTGTTAGTCCACATGAGGACTCACACAGGTGAGAAGCCGTATACTTGTAAAGTATGTGGGAGAGCTTTCGGACGTAATGGTCACTTGTTAGGCCACATGAGGACTCACACAGGTGAGAAGCCGTATACTTGTAAAGTATGTGGGAGAGCTTTCGTACGTAATGGTGACTTATTAGTCCACATGAGGACTCATTCAGGTGAGAAGCCATATACTTGTAAAGTATGTGGGAGAGCTTACGTACGTAACTATGACTTGTTAGTCCACATGAGGACTCATTCAGGTGAGAAGCCGTATACTTGTAAAGTATGTGGGAGAGCTTTCGTACGTAATAGTGTCTTGTTAGTCCACATGAGGACTCACACAGGTGAGAAGCCGTATACTTGTAAAGTATGTGGGAGAGCTTTCGGACGTAATGGTCACTTGTTAGGCCACATGAGGACTCACACAGGTGAGAAGCCGTATACTTGTAAAGTATGTGGGAGAGCTTTCGTACGTAATGGTGACTTATTAGTCCACATGAGGACTCATTCAGGTGAGAAGCCATATACTTGTAAAGTATGTGGGAGAGCTTACGTACGTAACTATGACTTGTTAGTCCACATGAGGACTCATTCAGGTGAGAAGCCGTATACTTGTAAAGTATGTGGGAGAGCTTTCGTACGTAATAGTGTCTTGTTAGTCCACATGAGGACTCACACAGGTGAGAAGCCGTATACTTGTAAAGTATGTGGGAGAGCTTTCGGACGTAATGGTCACTTGTTAGGCCACATGAGGACTCACACAGGTGAGAAGCCGTATACTTGTAAAGTATGTGGGAGAGCTTTCGTACGTAATGGTGACTTATTAGTCCACATGAGGACTCATTCAGGTGAGAAGCCATATACTTGTAAAGTATGTGGGAGAGCTTACGTACGTAACTATGACTTGTTAGTCCACATGAGGACTCATTCAGGTGAGAAGCCGTATACTTGTAAAGTATGTGGGAGAGCTTTCGTACGTAATAGTGTCTTGTTAGTCCACATGAGGACTCACACAGGTGAGAAGCCGTATACTTGTAAAGTATGTGGGAGAGCTTTCGGACGTAATGGTCACTTGTTAGGCCACATGAGGACTCACACAGGTGAGAAGCCGTATACTTGTAAAGTATGTGGGAGAGCTTTCGTACGTAATGGTGACTTATTAGTCCACATGAGGACTCATTCAGGTGAGAAGCCATATACTTGTAAAGTATGTGGGAGAGCTTACGTACGTAACTATGACTTGTTAGTCCACATGAGGACTCATTCAGGTGAGAAGCCGTATACTTGTAAAGTATGTGGGAGAGCTTTCGTACGTAATAGTGTCTTGTTAGTCCACATGAGGACTCACACAGGTGAGAAGCCGTATACTTGTAAAGTATGTGGGAGAGCTTTCGGACGTAATGGTCACTTGTTAGGCCACATGAGGACTCACACAGGTGAGAAGCCGTATACTTGTAAAGTATGTGGGAGAGCTTTCGTACGTAATGGTGACTTATTAGTCCACATGAGGACTCATTCAGGTGAGAAGCCATATACTTGTAAAGTATGTGGGAGAGCTTACGTACGTAACTATGACTTGTTAGTCCACATGAGGACTCATTCAGGTGAGAAGCCGTATACTTGTAAAGTATGTGGGAGAGCTTTCGTACGTAATAGTGTCTTGTTAGTCCACATGAGGACTCACACAGGTGAGAAGCCGTATACTTGTAAAGTATGTGGGAGAGCTTTCGGACGTAATGGTCACTTGTTAGGCCACATGAGGACTCACACAGGTGAGAAGCCGTATACTTGTAAAGTATGTGGGAGAGCTTTCGTACGTAATGGTGACTTATTAGTCCACATGAGGACTCATTCAGGNAGACATTCAACTGGTCTCTGCGCAAAATGTAGTTGTCCAGAAACTGTGCAACATGTGTTGCTTGAGTGCAGGTGTTATTTGGAGTAGAGGAAGAACCTGGCAGCAACACTGGAAGAAGCTAAGTTTTAACTCAGCATAGGAAACCTCATTGGGGCAGAAGCAGAGGGCAAAACATCTAAGCATGTAATGAAATATCTAAGAGACACTGGATTAATGGAGAGGATATAGAACTTTGTATTTCTCTTTACCTTTTTTGGTGTTGTTTGTTTTGTTTTGTTTTGTTTTGTTTTGTTTTGACCGCCACGCTCCTGTTCCACACTCCAGTCCGGTAGGTGGCGCTAGTGCACCTGATAAGCTGGTTGCCAACCGCCATCAAATCGGAAGAAGAAGAAGACGAAGAACAAGAAGCAGCAAACAAAACAAAGGCGCCAGTCGCGTTTCCCAAATGAGTGAGTTCACTTCAGGAGGTTAATCTATGAGTTAAACCTCGAGCCACATTTACTGTAGCCTACATTAGACAACAA